GTAAATTGGAACTTCCAGATTATAAACAGTGGAAAATAGAAGGGACTCCATTAGAAAATGTCCAGAAGAAGCTGGCTTTACGAGGGCTAAAGGATCCATGGGGCCACAATGAAGCTTGGAAATACATGGGTGGCTTTACAAACAACTTTTCCTTTATTGGTTTATTTCTAAAAGGATTCAAATGGGGATTTGCTGTGTTTGTGGTAGCTGCAGGGGCTGAATATTACTTGGAGTCCCAACAAAAAGATAAGAAGCACCACTGAAGATAGTGCCTGAAAGTATGTTATAACTTCTTAACTCTGTCATAAAACAAGATTTCTTCATTTTTGCCTATATGTGTGTTTGTCCCTTAAAGAATACTAATATGGCTTAATAAAGAAAGAAAAACAAAAAAAAAACACTGAATCGTATATATTTCAGAACAGCTGATGTATTTATCTTTGATCTAGCAGTCTGCCATCTGGGAATTCACATTACAGCTATACCTGCCTACATAGCAAATAACAAGGATGTTTGTTCATTACAGTGTTTTTGTAATTATAAAATGTGACTGGAAGCTCCATGCGTACATAGGGGAATGGCTGAGTCAGCAATGCTGTACCTGCCTGTAGGTGATATTATCCAGGAGCTGTCAAAAGAGTAAGGAAGCCCATGTGAGCCAATGTAGCTTATTCAGTAAAGAAAAGCAAGGATACATGTATCAAATTATCGCCATGAAATATAAACATATGTACAGCTGCTATGTATTGATCAAACATTTGCTAAAGAAAGAAGGGCGAGGCCCAGAACCATGGATGTAGTAGGTCCTTTGTGTAAAGAAAGCTTGACTGAGTGTAGGTGGCCACACTTATGTTCCCACACGAACAGCATTAGAGAAATAACTGGCTCTGGTCCTATATGGTGGCAAAGAAGGTGGTGGGGAAGGGAGGGAGCAGCCTTCGTCATCTATGCCTTTCCATAGCATTTTGACTTCTGAGCCCTATGTACAAAAAAAAAAAAAAAAGAGAAGGCATCAAGCACAGGTGCACACGAGTGCCATCACTGCGATACCAGTTAGGACATTTCTTCATTTTGAGGCTCATCGTACACTAGGAGCGTGGGCTTTTGAATGTCTTAAGTAATAAACCACTTTGGAAAGTGGAGATAAGTGTGTGCAGAACTACTGTTGATGTCTCACCTCACTCGGCAAATAGGGATCAGCTGCGCTCAGGTTTGAGGCATGAGAAGGGACGTGGTGTTCAGCTTCCAGGAGATGTTCTGCAGAAGTGAGCAGTAGACAGAAATCCCTGTGCAGGCATTAGTTTCCCAGCACCACTAGCGTTAGCCTGGGTCTGTAAGCACCTGCCTCTTCTGTCTGTCTCTTAAGTGGGTCCCCAGTAGCTTTCTGACGTTACACCGATCACCCACCAAGGCGATCAGTGCGATTTTTTCTTTCTGGAAATTTTCCTATCTTCTAGATGGGCTTCCTTGTCTTGCGACAATGGATAAATTGCTTTACTCAGTGGTCTGGGACCCTGGTCCCATCTCTCCAGAGCTCTCCATGCATATCTGAACATTCACAGCAGGACATTCATGGGTACAAATACCCCAGGGTTGCCCTGTGCTGCCCCCCTGGCAACTAATTTGTCAGACATGGTGGCCTGTTAGTCTGTGTTTAGTTCCTGTCTTCCTTCATAAAGAAGAGTGAAGGCAGAGCCGCTCCCCAGGACACCCTGTGGTGTCTCTCTGGGAGGGAACCCACCCAGCAGAAGCCAGGGCCAGCAGGTTTCCTCCTGGCCTCTGCTCCCCTGTTGGATATGTTCACACTGCACCTGTAGCTGCTGTGGTCATAACCATGTACTTGCATCCTTCTTTGTGCTGGCTTTGCTTTTCTTCCTTGCCATTTTTTTCCCTTCTAATTCCCTGAAATCGTAAGACAGGCCAATAAGAAAACCTTCCCGTTTCCCTGCTTTCCCTCTCCTCTCCCTTCTTTTCATTCTACCCTAGTGTGTCATAGCTGTGTTTGATGTGGCAGGACAGCAGACATGGGCACAGAGAGCACTGGGAAGCCGCAGCTTTGCAGTTCTCAGCTGTCAGGGCACAGCCTCAGTCAGAGCCCCAGGCCTCTTTACCCAGCCTGCTTTGGCAAAGTGTGTTACCTGTTGGTCACTTTCCTGGACCATGTAGTTTCAATTTAATGACACCCCTGGCCTAGGCATACTCATTTCTGGGGAGAATGAGCAGACAGTGGAGCAGGCAGGCTCTGGTTTCCCTCTGCAGGAGTGAACTGGAGGAGGGGATGGTATTACGTGCCTGTAATCCCAGCACCGGGGAGGCTGAGGCAGGAGGATCCTGAGTTCCAGGCTAGTGTGGGCTACATAGGAGACCCTATCTCGAAAAAAAAGTGCCATTGCTGGCTCTGCCATGGCTTGACAACCTTATCCACAGAGATCTTTTCATATATACCTAATAATTGCCGAACTGATTTTGAAGGCATATTAAAGTCATTGTTTCAGATCCTCTGATTTAGGAACTCAAGTTGAGAATTGGTAGGGTATGAATTAATGACACTTGATTATTCTTTGTTTGAGGAGTTTTCTTGCAAATGCGTGGGCTTTGATTGACTTGTGGAACCTCTGGTTTGGAAGCAAAGGTGCCTTTCTTGGAATGCTGCCTCTGCTGCTGCTGCGTGAGGACGCCTGTGCGTTCCCGGCCCTGGGGACCAGGGCTTTACAGGGATGCCAGTCAATGTCTGTGACTTATTCCTCAACGGCCCCAACTAAAGCACGGAACCTCTTTGTGTGTGTGGCTTAATCGGCTTCTGGCTCAGGTCGGAAGTCTGCCACCTGAGCCAGCCTTCCTGCTTCCTGCCTAATTCCCACTTCAACAGAGCAAGGCCACTGATCTGCCTCATTAGTTCTTCCATGTGAGGAGGAAGCTGCTAACTACCAGAGCTCCCCTGAGGAGGTGAGGGGCAGGGCGGAGCATCTGAGCTGAATGACCAACAGGGTCCATCCACCTGCTTATCCCGCCTCCGAGGAACAGTGGTACTCTGGAGAGCTAAGAGTATGTGATAATGGGATGCAACTTGCCTCATCTTGAGTCTCAGTTCAGCTCTCAAAAGCTTCCAGTCCTTGTTTCTATAATGGCCTCTGTCCCCTCAAGCAGAGCTTCTTGGGAGCTGGCAAAAGGCAATGTCTCATTCTGGGTGGGTTATCCTAAATGTCACCTAAATGATTATCCTAGAAGCCCAGTTAGCATCATGACATACTGTGTGGGTCCATTTCCAAGAATGATAGCATCCTTCACGTGTCATGCGACAGTTCTCTAACAGGTTTTACATTCATTACCTAGTCTTTGCACACTTCTAAACCTTATCTGGTTCCCATGCTGGCACGGGGAAGAACCTGGACTTCAACCTGCATTTTGTTTCAAGCTGTGCCTCCTGAGGCATTATCTTCAACCTCTGACTGTCTAAGACTCACATGATCATTTCATTCCCATGAAGAACCAGCACTTGCAGAAACGTCCCCTAAATCAGCCCGCCTAGTACTGAGGACGGGGCTTCTACCACACAGCCAGCCTCAGAGCTGAGGCTGTGTCTTCCATGGCCCCCACAAGTGGCAATGCGTGGTACCTTGGAAGCCTCTTTCCTCTTGAGTATCATCACCCTCCATCCCCAGACCTATCCCCTGGCCTCAGCCTTGCCTTCCATGCTCACTTTGGGAGTCTTCCGTACCCTCTTGGCTTCAGCCCTGTTCTGGCTCCAGGCTTCATGTCTGTGTCCACCTTCTTCCTGAGTAGCTCTACTTCTGTGTCTCACAGGTGCCTCAAATGCAGTGCACCCCAGTGGGCTCTGTGTCTGCAACCTCCTCATTGCATAAAACAGCATCCCCACCTCTTTGGGGTGATGCAGGTAGTGGAGTCTCCCGCCCTTCCAGCCCCACAGTACTCTTCACGTCTCGGGATTATGTCATCCATCTCTGCTTCCATGGCTCCCCTGGTCCTGCAGCTCTAGTGCGGCCCTTCCAGCCAAGCCTGCACTGCTACTGCTAGCCGACCTTGGTCCTTAGATCTAGCTGCTCTGTCCCTTCTGCCACCCTCCAGTGCCTCCTAGCCTGCTACCCCCATTCCAGGACTGTGTCTGCATTTCCCCTCCACTCACCTTTCCCCTCTATCCCTTGGACCATCCTGTCTGGTCCTCAGCTTAACTGGCTCCCCAGAGAGCACACCCATCCCTGCATCAGCTCCCTGTGGCAGTGACAGTGGCTAGCAGCTGTCACCACATGCAGCAGTGGTCCACTCAGTTATCTTCCCCAGCAACTGTGAACAGAACATGGTGACATCTGTCTCTCCAGGACCAAGCCAGTGTCCTATGTAGGAGTGCTTCAGAAGTGTGTGGCACGCAATGACCGCACAGACACAGTCCTCACAGGACTGGGTGGCTGAGGCGTTGGAAAGAGTCACCTTTTGGCTCTTCCATTAGACTTCCTGCCCAGAGCTCCGCCTTTGGTCAGAGGCTCTGGCCTCTGGAAGGCTCCTGTTAAATGTGACCTTGGCACAAGTGATTCATAAGCATTGTATTCACACAGGTGATTGTTTTCAGAGTTTCCTAAGTCCAAGCAAGATCCTAAAAAGCTTCAGCATGGGCTGGGGCTGCAGAAATAGAGATGGTACTGAGTGTCAGATGTGAGCTGGTGGGGAAGGTGGGGAGAGAAAGGGAATCTGAGAGGAAGGGAACCTGGGCAGAGGCAGGGAAAGAAAGGTGAAGGCAGAGCCGGCCAGCAGCCAGGTAACCAGAGGGAACTTTCAGAGTGTTACTTCTGAGAATATGTGGGATCTCAGCCCTTTTCCCTGTAAGCATCAACCTGAGCTGCTTTCTCAAAAGAGAATTGGGCCTGTGAGGAAAGAGGCCAAGGACGTGAGATATGCCCTGCACGCTTGTCCTGTCTCCACAGAAGCCCAAGGCCCCTACAGGCCCCCACATTCATGGCCTCGCTCTGTGTCCTCTCTCCCTGCAGTCGTGCCAAGCTGACCTCGTGAAGGACAACGGTCACAAGTACTTCCTCTCCGTCCTGGCAGACCCTTATATGCCGGTAAGGATGAGCTCGCTTTTCTCCTGGCCCACATTTGTGTCTTCTGCCTCCCTGTGTGCAGACTCAGGAGCAGGGCACCTCTGGCCACACACCCTCCACAGAGCCATGTGGGTGGCTGTTCCTGCCATAGTGGTGCAGTTTCTGTGTCCTTCCTGCTCCTGAATGAGAGGTCTCGTTCACCTGTACCCACAGGGCAACTTGACTTGGTTCTCATCAGCCAGCTGTGGCTAGGCATCTGTTCCCTGCAATGGCATCTTCCAGTATCTGCCCCCTGGACGGACAGATGGATGAGCATGTGTACATCCATAATGCTGCACTTCAGGTGCCTCCGAAGATCCCAGAACATGACAAGATGTCAGTGTGCCTATTGCAGGAAGGAAGGCGGGAGGAAAGGAAGAAGAAAGAAAGAGATTGTTTGAAAGTTTGAATTTTAAATGTTTTATCATATTAAATTGTTCATGAATAGGGCCCATAGTAAATTCTTATAATGTTTTATAATCAATTTCTTTGTTCTCTTTTTTGTTTGTTTGTTTGTTTTTGAGATAGGACCATTTTTTCCAGTTTTTGAGATAGCTTTGTAGCCTAAGCTGGCTTCAAATTCATGATCCATCTGCCTCGGCCTCCCAAGTGCTGTAATTATAGGTGTGTGCTACCATGCCCTGCTCAAGTTTCTTCATTTTCTACCTCTAACACCTAGCATAGTAACGAGGGCAAAACAGATACCCTGAATAGTTCTTCAACGTGACTTAAGTTCTCCAGGATCCTTAGTTAAGTTTAGCAGCATGTTACAGGCTCTGGGGGCATTGGTTGTACAGAGGAACTTTTGCATGTAGTTTCACCCTCTAGTTGTTTGTCTAAACTAAACAATAAAAGAAAGATTGCCAGAAACAGTATAAACAGTACTGGTATATGAAAGGAAAATGGTGCTTGGGTCCTTTGCCTCCATGATACATTTAACATGACCACAGGCAGCTGACATCTGGTCTCCATATGAGTTTAGGAAATAGTTTCCTTCCCTGTTCTTCAAGGTGAGTGAGAATATAAACAAAATGAGTGAGGACAGTGCTGAGCTGGAGTTTGCAGCAGGGTGACAAGCTAAAATGACATGAACAGGTTCACCTCAGCCACAGACAGGGCTTACATAGGACTGGGCAGAGGGGAAGGGCAAGCTGGCCAGACTGACATCATTGGCCACCTGAAGCACCTGCTGACAGAGGGTAGTGAACCAGGCCTGGCATTAGCATTCCAAAGGAGCAGTCTGTCCCCAGACAGGCCCAACGCTGCTGTGTTTTTGGAGTCAAATTGAAGGCAGTTGGAAGGCTGGACTCGTTACTTAATGCTACATCACATTTACTGTGAAGATTCTGGACGATAGCACCGTGTGCACTGGGAGTGGTGAGTGTCCACTGTGAGGAGGGTACACAACCATGATGGCTTTTGTTTTCTAGGCCGAACATAGGACCATGACAGCTTTCATTCTCGCTGTGATCGTCAATAGCTACACAACAGGGCAGGTGAGTGTCAGAGGCTATAGCCACCCTGAACCCCTCCCCTGGCATGAAGGGGACTTGGCAAGTCCCGAATGCATCAAAGAGCAGAGTTACAGCCCAGGCCACCACGTCTGCAGAGAGCTGCCATTTTATTTCTGGTGGTCTGCAGCCAGTCAACCTCAGGAAGTGAAGCCACCAAAGTGCACCAGCAGTAGGGAAGCAGTGGAGGGCATGCTCAGCAATGCCCAGGCCCTTCATTTAGCTTGCTACTATAAATTTGAATTAGAAGAATTTAAAATGGAAATTGCCAGACCCTTCCTGGTCCAAGGGCAGAGACCCACCCGCCTGTGTCTTGTCCCACAGGAAGCCTGCCTACAGGGAAACCTGATCGCCATCTGCCTGGAGCAGCTCAGCGACCCACACCCCCTGCTGCGCCAGTGGGTGGCCATCTGCCTGGGGAGGATCTGGCAGAACTTTGACTCAGCAAGGTGGTGTGGGGTACGGGACAGTGCCCACGAGAAGCTCTGCAGCCTCCTTTCTGACCCCATCCCCGAGGTGAGCCCTTTGTGCCCACAGTCCTACCAGGTGCTGTCTGTGGAAACGCTGCGTGGAAATGACGTGCAGAGACCAGCCCACACTCTCAAGTCACACGCTTAACTTTTCCCTGCGACTAAGAGCCATTTCCCTGTGTCCCTGACTACATCCAAGAGGCGAGGCATGAGCTCACTGCCTACAGGGCCATTCTGGGTACTACTAAGTCCTGTAAGCCAGCTCTGGGCCTCTCCACTTGACAAAGGAGATGGGCCAGCACTTCACGCCTCATGCCTGGTGCAGGCTGGAAAAGGTACTGGGCACTACCTGTTCCCTGCAGGCTGCCAGCCCTGCCCAGCCTTGGGTGTGCTCACCTCAGCTCTCCACTAGCTGGAGGGAAGGTGGACAGTCTGCCCCCGTGAACACCCTGCCTACTTCCTCACTCAGTGGGCCAGCTCAGAGGGGTCCTGGGAAGTTCCTAGCTCCTGCTGTGGCTCCAGCTTTCCTTAAGGTCAGCCTCTGGGGCTGGGTTCAACCCAGGCAGCCTGGTGCTAGCAATGCTGTAGGGCACTCATCTCTACTGTCCCTTTGGGGTTGGGATCTGGTGCTGTGGGCCCTGTCTGAAAGGTAGGGAAATATATTTACTTATTCCCAAGTTACTCTCAAAGGATTTGAGGCATCAAGTGCTCTAGGAAAAGCAAGGGGTGGAGGGTGGGGGTGGAGGCAGAGGAGCAGGAGAGAAGCGAGAATGGGCAGCTGTGTCCCTCAAGGCCCAAGGCCTGCGCCAGCTCGCGGGCGTGTGCAGGGTTGTTCTGAGCATCCTCGCGGCCAGCAAAGGAGGCATAGTTTCCCATCCTGTGGTCACTGAGGGCAGTCAGGGGAGGTGTGTTCCCACCCGGAGGCCCAGCAGGACATCCAGGACTGGGTTGCACGTGAAGTCTAGGGGGCGTCCCTGGGGCAAGCTCCCAGTCTTCCCAGGCTGCAGCAGAGAACCCACAGGCCAGCCTCCTCAGACCTCACCACACTTACACACAGACTCCAGCCAAATGGAAAACAAATGTGATTTCCCCGGAACTATAAACACGAAGACAGCACAGTAACGTGGACATGGTACTTGAGATGTGAAGAGTGGATATGGTTCTGAAGCGTCAGACACCATTTAGAAAGCACTTAGGAAACCCAGAAGCCCAGAAGAGCAGGTCAAGGATCGTCAGCATCTCCTGCCCTTGCAACCAGCTGGGCAGAGCTCGGTTATGGTCGACCAGAGTTTCATCCTTCAGAGGGAGGCTTCATTTTCAGTAGGTTGAAGACCATAGACAGAGCACTTCAGAGGAAGTGATTAAGTATAATTGCCCATTAATCCACTCTGTACCCTGGGAAGCAAAGTTGTTTTTTTGTTGTTGTTGTTTTTTTGGTTTTTGTTTTTTCTGCCTTCCATTGTAGAGCTGCTGTGACATCACTGCAGCCTCCTCACCCTTGCTGTACGGTTAGGGTGCCCACCATGGGCAGACAGTCTCCCTGGGTGGCTGTGGGCTCTTTGGTCATTAGGCTGCTACCGAACCCATTTGTATTTGTGATGCTGCTGGCCAGCATGAGTGTACGGCATTGACCATGTGAGTGTGGATCTAAGGAATACAAAAGTCCCACAGAGACCACAACATGAGAGGTGTTGGTTGGCAGTGCTGTCAGGGTACTGTCAGCCAGGAGATCTGGCCCCTGTGCCCAGGGATGGGATGGAAGGGATGTTGAGGTACCAGACAGAGGCTCGCCAAGGAAGTGCAGAGAGAAGTGGACGGTGGGGCCCTCATGCACAGGTCAGCTAGGGAAGGCTTGCTGAGCTTCTGTGTCAGGACAGCAGGAGCCTTCAGCAAGGATTTCCTGGTCTTCTGAAGCCTGGGACCCCTCTGACTCTTCCTGCATTGCTTTTGCACACAGCACTTTGCCTCGTGTGTCTTGCGTACTTAAGGTCTGGCCTCTTGCTGAGAATACAGGTGTGAGTCATGTGTACAGTGTCTGGGACAGACCTGCATGCTCCCTTCATTCTGTGAGGTGTGACCTCTCCTTGTCACATGGATGGCAATGCCATTTTGTAAACCAGGGAGAATCAGAACAGAGGTTGTTTGGATTTTGATGGGGTAGGAGACACTGCAGTCTTTTTCAGTAATCATTACTGCGTATTTATCAGTAAGCCAAGGATCCAAACTAAAGCTCTCAGGCAATGTGTCACACATGAGGAATCAGTGCACAAAGCAGCAGTGGTGGCTGTAGCTTGCAGGGCAGTTCTAGGCTGCCCCTTTGTACATTTCACATCAAAGTGTGACTTGTCCTGAAGACAGTACTGCTGTGTGTCCCCAAATATGCCACTATGTGCTCTAGGGGATGGCTCTGGATCCATCTGTCTCAGTCCAAGGCCTCCATACAACTTTGGACAGCCCTGACCAAGTCAGGTCTCATCTCCCCAAGTCACCCCAGAAAACAGAACATTTCTTGTAGAGGAACCTAAAAAACAAAAAAAAACTTGACATTTTAAGAGTTGGCAGTTTGTCCAGAATAGAAACTTTACAGTGTCAGAAGGTTCTATCCTGTCTCCATGAGAGGGGCAGGTGCCTCTAGTTGGGGGAAGTAGTCATACCCTACAACCCAAATCCTGCCTCAGCTGCCATCTAGAGATAGCCACTCACCCTGCCTGGTGAGCTCCACGTCTGGATGTATGACCTGAGGGCCTGGAGGTCTGCTGGGGCAGCCCCATGAGCGCAGTCATGGGAGAGCAACAAAGACCACGCAGGACCTCCTCACTGAGGCCTTCACGAGAAGCCTCTAAATGTCCCAGTCACCCAGGCTCCCAGCCCTGCCCCCCATCCCTGCTTGCAAATCCGTTCTTTTTTCCCTTAATTCCCATAGGTTCTGTTTTGTTTCTTTAAGGAAGATGTTTGAATTATATCAGTCTGTATCTGAAATGTCAGAGTAGTTGTTCTCAGTGATGCTGGTGCTTTCCTTAGCCAGACTCTGTCTGATTTCCCTGTCTTCCTGTGCAGTGCTCCACCATTAGGCTCAGAGCCACCTGTGTGATTCAGAAGTGAACTGAGAGGAGGTTGGGGGTTACGGGATCCATGAGGATGACTTCACTCTCCAGGATCCCCTGGCCTTGGGGGCAAGAGCTGAGCTGAAGTCCCCAGACACCATACCAGCCCAGTGTTGCCCCATTTACTACCTTTAACCCCCAGGGTCCCCACCCTCTCTGGTCTCCACTCAGCCATCTCTGTCTCTGAGTGTCCATGCCTTCCCTATTGTCACCATCCTCCACAGCCTGGCCTGACTTGCTTTCTACAGGGCAGCCCTGGGCCCAGCCCCATCCTTGGTGCTCCTGTCCCCTTCGACCATGAATTTCCAAGTCCGCAGTGCCTGGCTGATCCATTGATTACAGAAGAAACGCACTTCCCACCTCTGCATCCTGATCATCAGCCTCGAGCTAGGGCAGTGATGACTCACGCCACCATTGGTTCCCCAGGGCTTCTTTCCCCCTCTCTGCTCCGTCAATATGAGTGCAGCTCTGGACCTAGAGTATTGCTCAATAAGTACTTGTGAAATTGAATTGAGCTGAACTTATCTGAACTGAATTGGATTAGCTTGCAGGCAGCCGTGGCAGAAATGTGGACTGTCAACCTGCCAGCCATGGGCGTGACTGTTGATTCCCTGTCCCCACCCCTTGCAGGTTCGTTGTGCAGCTGTCTTTGCCCTGGGCACATTTGTGGGCAACTCTGCTGAGAGGACAGACCACTCTACCACCATTGACCACAATGTGGCCATGATGCTGGCCCAGCTGATCAACGATGGGAGCCCCATGGTTCGGAAGGTATGAGGGGCCTTGCTTGGCTGGTCCCTTTGCTGACTGGGCTGAGCCAGCACAGCCTTGTTCCTGGCAGCAAAGACTCAGTTTCCAACCATGTGTGTTACTTGAACACAGCTCTTCAAGTGTATAATTCTGTCCAGAGTGCAGCTCTTCACCAGACGCTTGTACTGTCCACCTGAGGACATGGGGCAGGCTCATCTCCTACAGCTTGTATGGTAGGCTCCGTCCTACCTGGGCATCCACATGCATCATTGTGCTCCATAGAGCAGGGGTCACCTGTGAATGATGGCAGGTTTGTGCAGTGTGTGCCCCCCATTTGCCCACAACTGCATGAAGCAGTTTTAGTCTTGAAAACTCCTACTTATCTGTTTAAATGTAGAAATATCACGGATTGTTTCCCACAGTCCACACTCCCATAAAAGGCTGTTTCCCCGCCCTTACTCCAGGCAGACAGGAGCATGTGGGAGATGCTCCCATCTACTGGTGGCAAACCTGAGGCTGCTCTTGGAACAGAGAATGTTCACAGGATGCACAGGGAAGTAGAACTGCCCCCAGATGACCACAGATCTGTATGTTACTTCTGAGAGCCACTGAGTTCCTCAGCATTTCTGAGCAGCTGTCTTTGGCTCCCCCTTGGAGATGGGCAAGCCTCCAGGGTCATCTATTTAGAGAGCAGGTGCATGGCTGGCTTGGGAGGGACACGATCTGAATGCATTTGCTTTACCCAGACTCAAAAAGTGAAGGGCATATTGTATTCCATGGCCCCTTCTGAAATTGACCCAAGTCACTCTTACGCTTGATTTTCTAATGATCTTAAAAGTATGAGGAGGTCTGGGTGGCCCCTCGCCATTGACTTTGTTATCTTCACTTTCTCGTGGTCACCAGACTATCTGGACTTGGCTTCCTTCAGTCTTTGCAGAATTCTCCTTTTTCTCAGGTCAGGTCGCCTCAGTGGACACCACTGATAAGGCCACAGACCATGGCTTTCTTTGTTAAAACTCCTTTCAAAGAAAGGAAAGCTTTCTCTTTTCT